AGACAAAAGAGGATTAAGATGGAAATAAAACTAAAAGTGTAACATTTTGTTTTGAAAAAAACATTATTCATTCTATTTTTAAATGTCCATCTGAATATTTGAGTAAAAAGAATAGGAAACAATTATGTCGAAAAATCTCAAGTTCTATTAAAGGTAAATGGTTCTATGATTAAACATCATCTGATGAAGAAACTGGAAATTATTCTGATCTTGAAGATTATCAACATTTCTATAGCATTATTGAATGGAAAAACCTATAAGAAGTATCCTAATCAAAAATGACTTCAAATAATTAGAATGAAGTTTAAAATTCAAAAAATACCAATGATTTTAAAAATGGAAATTTGTAAAATCCTAAATCATGTCTTAAATAGACCAAGAAATTAGATATACCTTCTTAATTTGATGAGTTTTAATAAAAAGATTAAATTGACGATTAATAGACTGAAGTATGTTCAGAAAAAAATTTAAATAATGATAATATTTAAAATGATAAATAAATAGAAGTAAGTAAATTTAAAGATCATAATGAAAGAGATGAAGAAGATGAAGTAAAATAATTACAATTATCATAGATATCTATAAATCTTGATGATTTATTTGATTTCTAAAGTAATTATAATGAATAGAAAATCCATGATCAATAAGATATTTCAATATATGATTAAGTAAAGAAAAAAATAGATTTCAAATCAGCATTCAAGATTATTGATATAGTAAAATTATATGAAAATATATGAAAATTTAATCTAATTAAATTCATTTTATTACCATTCTGATTAAAGTTATCTAAAGAGCAATTAAAATTTAATTCTAAGAAAATCAATTAAAGTAAACAAAAACTTTATGTTTATTTTTTTTAAACATTTTTATAGTTATAGACTTATTCAAGTCTAAAATACACTAAAATCCTTTATAAACTTCATCTAACTTAATGATGCTAATGTAAAAAATACATTATTTAAAAATAAGGTTTATTTTTAAATGGACTCTATTTACTCTAATTTTGGAGATTCTTCTTTTTTTTAGTTCACCATCTACTGTACTTTCTTAGTAATTGATTATTTTTTTTCTGTAAATGTACTGATTTAATTTATAAGCTCAAATATATTACATATCCAAATATCTTTAATCTGCAAAAATTGTATTCTTATTCTAAATTTCATCTTTTTTAAATATAGAAAATTGATAAAATGGTTTTTAGTGAAAATACTAATAGGTAAATTCAATGGAGGTATCATCAATTCTTATAAGTTTTATTTGATCTTTTCATAAATTTTATCAACAAAATTATTACTATTTTATTGTTATCTTCAAAATATATTTTTTTATTTATTATCATTTAATTTATTACTAAATATGATCAATACACTTGATTATTTAGAATTTTTTTAATTCAATGATCCCAAATCTTGTTTAATAGTATATATT